ATAACCACGATGCGAAACTATTAAGAAACAATATAATAATTGTCACCAAACTTGCTCAAGGAGTGAACGATGTAATGTGCTGTGTTGTGTAATGAAGAATTATTGGAGAACTGATTTTGGAAGGCTCACCATTTCATGACTTTTTGTTCACAATACATGGAGATACTTCGCTGTCTGCTACTTTTCGCTTTTTGGCACCAAATCATACCATACAAATCCATGTTCGAAGGACCAAAATGGAGCCACCAATTGGCATTATTTTCTCTTATTGACTTCTTCCAACTAAGGACATTACTTTTATGTTTTTTTTTTATTGTGTGGACTATATTAATTACATGTGACAGCAATAATAATAATCAATCAAAGTCAATTACATCCTTCACACCAGCTTCACACCTTTTTAAATTAACCTGTAAACTTTAACTACATATATCAATGGTTCAAAAGCTCGGGTTCTAACCAATACCTATAAGTAATACAGATTAGAAGTAAATTCTGTAAGTAAATACAGTTTATTTAGAACCTTGAAATTTCGAAATAAAATTATTCTCTATTTATTATAGTGAAATTTTAATAGTAAATTTTGAGTGTTTTTTCCAGAATTTATTCAAAAACTATTCAATGTACGTGGTTTTAGGAAATCCTTTAAACTGTTTGCAGAGGATTTGGGATAATACCTACGTATATATATAATAGACAGAAACTGTCAATATTTGAAGTAAATTACTTGAAATTTTACTTCCAGTATATATAAGGACGAATTACTTTTTTTGTTATGTACTTGTACTTGAACTTCCAATATCTATTCTAAAATACTTGGATTTTTACTTGATTATGTCAACTATTTTGTTTGAAGTATTTTGAGTACCTACTTATAATAATTAAGTTTCTTTAAATAATAATTATTGCAATTATTTTTTTACCGTTCACAACTATCTTATTAAATATCAAAATATGACAAACAATTTGGAATCCTTGAATTAGTACAGGCTTTTTAATTTATTTTTTTTTTATTTTTTTTATTTTTAATTTAACCCATATCTATCTTTATTTATAGAGAATTTAATGCTCTTTCCAATGGTATGTAATTTATTTCAATTTGCTTGAAATTTAATAATGATATGAGCAATTGCTTATAACCATGTCGAGATTTTGAAAATGTTCCAGAGCCAAAAATAGGATTTTCTTGTTATTTTTGTTTCTGCCTAAAATGGTCATTTGGAAACGATGCTATCGATTGATAAAGTTAAAATTGAGTAGAACTGAAAAATAGAAAAATCGAGATTTTCTTAAGGGTACTAACCCCTTTGAATTCTGATTTTAAAATAATCAAACCTCAATTGCTCGGTAACCGTTGAACAAATTGCATTAAAATTTTAAGCATTTGTAGCTTGTGATAAGCTCTAAAAACCCTGTAATTTATAATATTCCCAGATTTATGGTTTTTGAGAAAATTAAATTTGAAGTTTTTGGCAAAATTTAGACTTAAAATCAACTTTGAGGCTCAATTACTCAAAAACTATTTGAGCTAATAAACTCAATTTTGCACGGATTTATAGAGAATTTATTGCTTTTTCCAATGATATATAATTTATTTCAATTTGCTTAAAATTGAACAAAAATATAGGCAATTGCTCATGACCATGTCAACATTTTGAAAATTTTCTAGAGTCAAAAATAGGATTCCCTTTTTATTTTATTTTTTTTAGCCTAAAATGGCCATTTGGAAATTATGTCAGGATTGTTTTCTACTAATTTTGACCCGCTCTATCGATTGGTAAAGTCAAAATTGAGCAAAACTGAAAAATAAAAAAATCGAGTTTTTTATAAGGGGTTTTTTGAATTTTAATTCCAAAATCTTCAAACATCAATTGCTCGATAACCGTTGGGAAACTGCATTGAAATTTTCTGCATTTGTAGCTCCTATTAAGCTTCAAAATAGTCTGTATTTTACAATATTCCCAGGTTTATAGTTTTTGAGCAAAATAAATTTGAAGTTTTTGACAAAATTTGGACTAAAAATCAATTTTGAGGCTCAATTACTCAAAAACTATTTAAGTTATCGAACTCAATTTTGCACGGATCTATAGAGAATGTATTGCTTTTTCGAATGATATATAGTTTGTTCCAATTTGCTCGAAATTTAACAAAGATATGGGCAATTGCTCATGACCATGTCAAGATTTTGAACATTTTCCAGAGTAAAAAATAGGATTTCCTTTTCAATTTTTTTTTTTCAGCTTAAAATGGCCATTTGGAAATCATGTCAGGATTTTACTTCACTAATTTTGACCCGCTCTATCGATTGGTAAAGTCAAAATTGAGCAAAACTGAAAAATAAAAAAATCGAGTTTTTCATAAGGGTGGATACCTACCGCCCTTTGAATTCTGATTTCAAAATATTCAAATCTCAATTGCTTGGTAACCGTTGAACAAATTGCATTGAAATTTTTAGCATTTGTAGCTCGTAAATAAGCTCTAAAAAACCTGTAATTTACAATATTCCTAGGTTTATAGTTTTTGAGCAAATTAAATTTGATGTTTTTGACAAAATTTGGACTAAAAATCAATTTTGAGGCTCAATTACTCAAAAACTATTTAAGTTATCGAGCTCAATTTTGCACGGATTTATAGAGAATTTATTGCTCTTTCCAATGATATATAATTTATTTCAGTTTGCTCAAATATCCAACAAAGATCTGGGCAATTATTTCTAACCGTGCCCAAAATAGAAAAGGCTGTAATGGGATTAACTATAATCAAATACCCCTGTACATATTGGAATCATGCTCCGCTTGATTTTTAGAACTGAGATTGAGATATTTAAAAAAACTAAGCATTAAAGCACCTTTAGTACTTCCTTTATTTTATAAATAATAAACTAACATAGGCTCGGATAAGATACCAGAATAGAATGAGGATCGGATTATATTGTGAATAATTAAAAAAATTACTAAGAATTGTCTTGTTTTGAACAGATTTTAAATATTTGAAGTACCAAAATTACTTCAAGTATTGCTTAAGTAGTTTATTTGAAATATTTTACATACTTTAAGTACCTACCAAAATTACTTCAAGTAATGTCACTTTACTTGAAGCTCAATGTTTTTACTTGAAGTAGGTGAATTACTTGATGAAATTTAAGTGAATTTCAAGTTTACATGACAATCAAAGTAATTTTAAAAAACCTATACGTGTACTTTAAGTACTTTCGTAATGTTTAGGTACCTACTTATAAGCTCCGAATATACCTATATAGTATATATCAGTTCAGATATTAGTTATATCCTATCTTCAACAAAGAGTCGCCTTGAAAATTTTTTCAAATTACTTTGTTATTTCTGCTTCCAAATCCGCGTCTTCTCAATTAATAATAATATAAAAGAATCTTTCTCATAATTAACCAACCAATAAGTGTTTTTATGCAATAACTAATTAATATATTATACAAGTAGGTACATTTAAGTTGCACTTAACTACATATAAATAAAACAAAAGACTCTGAGAAAACTCGTGATTCGCATAACTTTTAATTCTTTGTAGCTGATGCATAAACAATTTTTATTTATCGCCTCCTGGGCTTTGCTGAAACTATTACAATTAAACCAAATTCCATTTAAAATAATTGAAAATTACTGCCTGGAAAGATGTATCTAGTTGAAACGAATTACTACTAGAAAAGTTTCAACTTAATTAAATGTTCATTTAAATTATTATAGTCATGGTTTGTTTTTTATTAATTTAAATCTCGGTACGCTTGAATTTAAATTAAATCTAATGAGGATTTTGCCAATTATCGAATTACTTTTGATGGGTTTAGTTAATTGCAACAAACTATATGATTAAACAATAGGGTATACTAATACTAATTGGCTCATTAATCAGAGATTTATGGTAGGTACTCTTTTTTTTTGTTTAAATAATATAATTAATTGTTCTTGACCCATTAAAGGTGTCCTTTACACTTGGAATCTACATTAAAAAATCTAAATTATTTGCTAATTGAAAGGTGGCTATTTAAATTATATAAAGTGGTATCCATATATATCATTTCTGGTAGCTACCCAAGAGGAAGTAATGCATGAGGTACCTATATCTACTTTTGAAAGCAAAAGGAAAGGACTTTTGCGCAATTATATTATTAATAGAGTTATTATTTATTAAACAAATGGTGTAAGTATTAGAAATAAAAATTAATTAAAAAAGTAATTTAATAACAGGCATAAGGATAGTTATTAAATGCAAATACCCTCTTTTTTTTATAAATTGTTAATAAGAGTTTTTCTAATCTAATTAAAACAGTAGTATTTTTAGCTCTTATATAGGTACTTTATAATTATTATTAATAAATTACCTAGTGTTGATATTAAAGCATGTCTTTCTTAATGCATAAAATTATCTTTAAAGAGAATCAGAATCTTATATCATTAAATGCTTTTTTGTTTGGAAATTATAATAATTGTTTAAAAATAAAGTTTCTTTATAGGGAATGCAATTATTTAATTATTGTTACGAAGCAACTTGGCCCTGAATCATTGAAAAAAAAAATGTTAAATCCGTTTAATAGTTAAAGCAGGTAAGTGGTAAGTTAAACTATCTCTTTAATAGATCGAGCCATTGAAGCAATTTTTTAGAAAAAAACCTTAATGGTTAAAGAGAGAGTCATTTCAACATAAATTTTATATAATTATAGCCTTGGAGCATTCACTTGTAGCTATTGCATTGTTCTATTTCTTATTATACTCTCTTTGAGAAATATTTGCAAAATTTAAATTATTTAAAATTTGCCGGGTCTTTATAAACTGTTAACTACTAGTAGCATCTATTGGCAAAATATAACAATATTACAGATTCCTGTAATTTTGCCTAAACCCAAGTATGTTTATCCTGTTCTTTCTTATGAGGCTAAACAAAGATAGATATGTTTCATTGAAAAATATCAGCTGATTTTTAAGCCGTTTTGTTGACGTTCATGTTTTTCAGTCATCAAAAAAGTAAACAAATAACTAAATGTATTTTAATAATTGTTTAAAATTATTGTCAATTGAAAAACATGTTCAAACTCGAAAGCTACATTACTCCGATCATTTTGAGCTACGTCAATAGATATATCAACAATTTTAAACCAGAAGATTCTCAGGTAATAATAAATTTGTATTTCCCAAGCAAAAGCACCCCACAAACCTTGTTCCAGGTTTCATTATGGGGCGGCGACGCTACTTTTCATAATTTAGAGTTGAACCTGGAAGTGCTAGAGCAAGAATTACAGTTGCCTTTTAGTTTTGTTTCCGGTAGTATCCGGGAATTGTCCATACATGTTCCATGGACCAAAATTACTTCGGAGCCTATTAGGATTACTATTAATACCATAGGTGAGTAATTAGCTTAAAAATACTCAAAGATCAGAGTCTTGTTTTATATTGATTCTTGATTCTGAGTAGAAACAGTATGGTATTGATGCAAAGTACAAAAAGATTTTTGTATCTTTAGATCGTTTAGAGATCAGAGTCCTCTTGTTTTATATTGATTCTGAGTAGAAACAGCATGGTATTGTAAAGTACAAAAACATTTTTCCATAATCAGAGTCTTGTTTCATTATTGATTCTGAGTAGAAACATCAAGGTATTAAGATTGCAAAGTGCAATTACATTTTTCGATCAGATTTATAGAGATCAGGGTCTTATTGTTTCATATTGATTTTGAGTAGAAATACCATGGTATTGTTGCAAAGTACCCTAACGTGTTTGTATTTATTTTCAAAAAATAAAATAAAACTATGCTATACATAATAACGAGCATAATAATATGATCACAACAATTAATGCAAAGCAAATACAAATAAAAGTGAATAAACACAATACAATAGGTCTATAAACCTAGCAGTCCCAAGGTGGAAAAAAACTTTGGCAACTATATAATAATTAGGTGCTTTTTAGGTGCTAATTAGGGCCTCTAATTAAAAATTAGGTGCTCCTTTAGTTTTTGAGAAAATCAAAAAAACTGAGGGACTGCTAGGTTTATAAAACCTAGCAGTCCCTTATAGTAAAAAATATTTTATCAAATTTTTTCATTGTACAGGGTGTCCGAATTTGGATGGTTTTAATAGGAAACATCAATTTCTGAGCAAGATACAAAAAAATGAACCCCCCACTCCAAGGCTCAAATTTCTTGAAATTTTGATTGGTGCAAACCGCATTTTGATATCTTTAACCGTTTAGCCGCTAGAGGGCGATTCTCGATTTTGAGCAATCATGTGAAACCATCATAACTTTTTTGTTTATGAAAATTATTAATTTCCTTAAAAACTTTCTAGAAGCACTTTTTCAAGCAGAATTCAGTGACGTTCTCAGTTTTTTTCTAGTTGGTCCCAATTCCGAGATATTGACCAATGTCTGGTTTTTTCAATAGGACACTCTATATATTAATAGCTCATTAAAAAGGTTAGCTTTTTCTGATTTAAATGATATAAAGTTCGATAGGTTCATCTCTAATAGTTTGCGAGAAAAAAAATTATTTCGGTTTTTGTCATAAGAAGCAATGTGTAAGAAAAGGACTTTATACCTGTAAGGAAACTGAGAAAGGTCTCTTTCTAACTCATTGTTTCTTATGACAAAAGCCGAAATATTTTTTTTTCTCGAAAACTGTTCGAGATAAACCTATCGAAATTTATATCATTGAAATCAGCAAAAGCAGAGCTTTCTAGTGAGCTATTAATATATAGGGTGTCCCATTGAAAAAAATCGGATTTTGGTCAATATCTTGAAATCGAGGCCCAATAGAAAAAAACTGAAAACGTCACTGAATTCTGCTTGAAAAAGTGCTTCTAGGAAGTTTTTACGGAAATCAGTTATTTTTATAAACAAAAAAGTTATGAAGATTTCACAGTATTGCTCAAAATCGAGAATAGGCCCCTTGCATGAAATTTTTTTATTGCAGATTTCGATAGTCCATGAAAAATAAGTCAACACGTGTTTTTTCTTTTTCTTGTTAGTCAAAAATTGATGGAGATACAACGCTTTGAAATGTCCTTCCGACGTCATAACTTAGGTATAATACGTTGTGAGTTGTGACGTCGCACATGCTCAGTATATCTATATATAAAAAACTTAATATTTGTATAACTTCCGGAATAATCATATTTGGGCGGAATAAAAAAAAAGTAACGATTTTTTTTCGATTTCCTGCAGTTTGCAATAAACAATAATCAATTTAATTTTCCATGCAAGTACCCTATTGCCCTCTAGCGGCTAAACGGTTGAAGATATCAAAATGCGGTTTGCGCCAATCAAAATTTCAAGAAATCTGGGTCTCGGAGTGGGGGGTTCATTTTTTTGTATCTCGCTCAGAAATTGACGTTTCCTATTAAAACCATCCAAATTCGGACACCCTGTACAGTAGTGTCGCGATAATCCGATCCCGCGATAATCCGTATGCTTCTGTAATCCGCATCGCATTTTCATTCCCTTGATGTACTCTGTAATCCGGATTTCACTTGATTCAGTAATCCGAATTCATTTACATGACTCTTGAAAATAAAACCACAGCAGTGGTAGAACTCCGTGCCATGTAGAATTCGACATATCGAAACATATCGCATACCACAGAGTGTGCCGAGTCTATGGGATCCTGTCGATATGTAGAATTCTACCTGACATGGAGTCCCTGGGCAGGTTTTCACTCGGGTTTTCACTTAAAGAAATTGCTTTAGAAAAACAACAGCACAGCAGTCGTCAGAGTAAAATCACCAACTTCTTTCAAGCGGTGCAGAAAAATGTAGATGAAGGTGGACAAAATTCAAATGCTGAAAATAATGTAAACGAAAGTTGGAACAATATTGACTAAAGTCTGTGTTTTTTTTAAAGATAATAGGCTCGTTCAATAAAAAAATTTTAACACGGTTTTTCACATTTTTATGGAGTATTACTCACATATAGCACATAAAAAAAATTTCAGCTCAATTGGATAAATATTAGAAAAGTTACGCGTTTTTTAATATTAAAACAGTTATGCCTCGGAAATTCATTGCTGTGACGTCATAGCATCTCTCGAGTCGAGACAGGCTAAAGGCCGTCATACACGGTTTTGCATAACGCAATGTCAACTGATTTTCTATTGACAGTTTGGCACACAGTTTGCGAAATTATACAATATTTTAAATTTTTCTTTTTGCATGCTACTTCCATAATTGTGCTTATAAAATACTGAAACTCAGGGAACTATTCAAATATACGAAATATGGTTTGGAAGAAAAACATCAAACCTCTACCAGATATAAAATGCCAAACTAAAACTTGTCTAAACGATGCCAAACCAAAATTTGTCAAAACCACGTCAAAACAATGCCCGTATTGTCGAAGTGACTGGCGTACCAGCACCACGACGACCGACGTGAGAGATGCAGTGACGTCACCGCGTGTTTCAAATTTGGAGTACTTTGATAATTTATTTATATATGAACAAGGGCTCAGAAAATTATGAAATTTTGCATAACTGCTAAACTCAACACGCTCTTTTAGAATATGCAATAAAAAAAATATGCTGTACGAGCCTATTCCCCAAGTCAAAAATTTAGTAACTATAACTATGTTGGCAACACAAGCCTTTTCTACATAAAAAAAAATTGAAAGCATTGACAATTTTACATTGTATTGCCAACATAATGTCATTTTGACTTTTATCTTTAAAAAAAAAACAGACTTTAGTTATTTTTACACTTATGTACTTACATATTTCGCACTCTATATAGAATAATTTACTTCATTTGTCCTGTTTTTCAAATAAATATAAAGTTTTTTTTGTCTAAATACAGCATGTTATTTTTTCAAAATTGTTTTAAAAGCGGACTGTAAAATGCCTTGGTAATCCGAATAATATGATAATCCGGATTGGTCTGGTTTTAATTGATACGGATTATCGCGACACTACTGTATCAGAATTAGGTGCTTTTTAGGTGCTCCTAAATAGTCCAAGAAAAAATAGAATTTATTAATTATTAATTGAGTTACATATTTTTTTTTTAATTATTAGGGGGGACTGCTGGCTTTACGTTTACTTGTTGGTGTGTCAGAATGGCAAAAAACTTCGGGATCTATATAATAATTTAGTGCTTTTTAGGTGCTAATTAGGGCCTCTAATTAAAAATTAAATGCTCCTCTAGTTTTTGAGAAAATCAAAAAAAAGCTAAGGGATTGCTAGGTTTATGAAAGCTAGTAGTCCCCTATAGTAAAAAATATTTTTCCAAAATTTTCTTTTGTATAAGAATTAGATGCTTTTTAGGTGCTCCTAGATAGTCGAAAAAAAAAAAATAGGATTGATTAATTATTAACTGAGTTACAGATTTTTTTTTTAATTATAAGGGGACTGCTGGCTTTACGTTTACTTGGAGGTGTATTTGCAACGAATCTAACGACAGGGCTGAAATATTATATTGGAATTAGATGCTATTTACGTTCTTCTAAATAGTCAAAGAAAAACTTGAATCAGTCAATTATTAACTGAATTACAGATTTTTTTCATTATTGGAGGACTGCTGGTTTTACATTTACTTGAAGGTGTATTTGCAACGAATCTGATGACAGTGGCTAAAATGTTTTGGAATTAGGTGCAATTTAAGTGTTCCTAATAGTCCAAGAAAAATTTGAAACACCTAATTATTAACTAAATTACAGATCTTTTTTCATTATTAGGCGATTGTTGTTTTCACGTTTATTTGGTGATGTGTTAGAGGCTAACATGTTTCTGGATAGGAATTAGGTGCTATTCAAGTGTTCCAAAATAGTAGGAGTGGGAAAAATAATCGATTATTTTATTGATAGCAGTGCTATTTTTTAACATTGATAAAAATATATTTCAGACCTAATCTAACACGTGTATGCAACAAGTAAAAAGAAAGGATGAAAATAATATTCCAAAGTACACGAATACATAATATGTAAAAAAAACTATTCTTACAGAAAAATTTAAAAATTAATTTGAATTTTTAGATTAATCAAAAATAATCGATCACTCGTAAATAATCGATTAGTCGAAAATTAGCGATTAATCGACAATTTTCGATCGATAACCGACTTGGCGCCCCTGTGAGTTTTCGCTAATGGGTACATTTTCTGTACAAATTTTTGCGCCTGGCTTCGGGACCCCTTTACCACCGTACCCCGGTGCGCCGTACCGAACTGTCCTACGATAACTACGCCACCGATTATGTTAATTAAAATTAAATAGCATTTTTCATCATGAATGTATATTCTAAACTACGACCGCTGGCGTAACTAGCTGACGACGTAGTTGATGATGTCGTCAATAGTGCTGCACCATATGGCCGCGATTTCCACAAACGCCGATAAGCAATCCTGTGTAGTAGTAGGTATATTTT